GGTAGATTAATTTGGCGAAACCGCTGGGAGGGTTCACCACTGATGAGCCAAGCCCTCCCATTATATATTTTTTCATCGCAGTAAGGACAGTAGAAGTTCGTTTTATGTATAAAAGAAACATTCGCGCTTTTAAATCATTTTATTTTATATGTATAGATGGCGCGTTATTGCTTTGTGTTAGTATACCCTGTATTTACTATGGAAGGCAGCTTAGGGGTGTTTAGTGAACTATGGACATAAGCTTATAGGTCTGTAGAGGTACATTAGATAGAGATAATATTTGATGATATTTAAAAGAAACGCATTGCCAGTAAATTTATTTGTGTAAAATATTAACGTAGATGGCAATTAAATTTATAAATTTAATATCAAAGTGTGTGACGTTTTAGCATTGTCACCATCTTCAGACAAAAGTACTGAATGAAATACAGTACTTTGGTTGATACATTCAGTAATTCTGAAGATGGTAACAACGCTGCTACCGAAACATCACAAACTATTTATTTGGATTTGGTCTTATTACCTTGTGTTCAAGTTTTTTTTACTTTCTCAGTTTCTAAAATCAAAAGCTTTAAGCTCTCTTTCAGAAAATTTTCTTTTTTCACAAATGACAAGGCACACATTTTGGATTATAAACACAAGGTAATAAGACCACAAATCCAAAAAAAAAAAAATAGTGTGCAATGTTTCGGTAACAGCGTTGTTACCATCTTCAGATAAAAGCACAGAATGTACTGACCAAAGTACTGTATTTCATTCAGTACTTTTGTCTGAAGTAGGTAACAAAATGCTTTTACAGAAACGTCACACACTATTTATTATTTGGATTTGGTCTTATTACATTGTGTTTTTTTCACAAATATTCACAAGAAACAAAGATCTTCGCTGTACTAACACATTTAGAAAGATGCTCTGGGATTAAAGATATTTAGAGACAAGCAACAAAGCTGGGCCTAGTAGAAGTGCCATACAACACTTGAGTCACACAGGGGAACTTAGAGACAAAGTAAGCAGGAACATAATTGGCTATCTCCAAAAACTCTCAAAAACCTCAAAAATTCACCTTCAATGGAAACCCTCACATGTTGGAATTGAAGGCAATGAAGCTGCTGATGTGCTAGCGAAAAAAGGCACAAAAGAACCCTTGCCACAGAAAAATAAACTTACTTTTAAAGAAATAGAAACAGTAGCCAAAACAAACATAAACAAGAAATGGAGGATCCCACCTAAGCACAGTTGGTACAGTGGAGTGAACCCAGGAGAAGCTCTGAACATCAGAAATAGACAGCATCAAACAACACTAACAAGATTTAGAACAGGCCATCTCAAGCCATTGAAGATAGAAAATAATAACAAAATCTACCCCACTTGCCCAAAATGTAGCTTGGCACCTGCAGCTCCAGAACACATTTTGGCTTGCATTAGATGCACTAAACAGGACCTTTGGGAGAGGCCGCAGCTCATCATAAAACAGCTCGAGGAGCATGAACTCATGGAATTCGTGTAATTTTTACACAAGGGGATAAGAAACAACAACAACAACAACAACAGATCAGGGGATGTAAATGTGATAAAACCTTTAGTTCAAAACCTTGGTGGAGCTTTCTTTGTGTTGCAGCTTAAATAATTACATGTTTTGACTTGGGATTAAGGTTTTTTTTTTCAATATTTTGAAGCGCACATGAGAATGCAATTTCAGTTTATGTGATATTAACCATACTCTCTCTACACAGATATTTGATTCTGATCTTCTTGTTTCTTATCTCCACTCAATCATATTAGGGTATCAAGTTGTGACCCTTGATGGTGTCTGTTTGACAACCACTGGGTGAAGTAGAATGCCTTTGTCATTAAGACGGGGAGCACTACTCAGTGGCACGCCGACTTAGCTCCAAAAGAAATGGCCGCCTCTGACATGAGGAACAGATGCCATGTGCAGTTGCTCCTAACATGGAGTACAAACGCTGCTCATCCTGTATCCCTGGATCAGGAGCCCTTACAGGGTACTATCAGCCAGGCCAGCTGAGCCCAGGGTTTTTAGTGAGCTTGTTACTGCTCCCCCTCCTTTTTCATCCGGGCTTGGGACCGGCAAAGGCAGATCCTGATTAGGTAGGCTGGCCAAGTGGTTGACTTACCTGTCTGTGGAAGGAAGAGTAGTCGGAAGACTCAGAGTTGGTCCTGGACGGCCTCCTCTCATACACTGCATCACATGGAAGTTATCTCTCCACAAGGGGGGATAAGAAACAACAGTTATATAGTTTTCTTGTCATTTAAGTACAGCTTGCATCACACTATTGAGGGCCAACAGCCAGAAACACGTACGTAGTTAGCTTTTCTTGATTAAATCAAGAATGGGTATTTGTCCAATTCTTGGAATAATTAAAAATCAACGAATAGTTGATATTTATTCCGACAGATGGCGCAAGCCATCAGCAACTTTTAGTTGCATGATCAGGAGTTAACTTTTTATTAAGTTCTGTAGCTGTTGTAACATACTGCTTTTTGTCAACACTCACCTGATATGAGAGATACAGTAGAACTACCTCCCTGTAAAGGACAACACCTAATTACAGAGACAAAGTGTCCTTTAGGGAGAGGTGTCCTCTTACTGGAGAGTTGCTAAATAGTAAAAATGGTATTTTTGCAAATGAAAACTGTCCTTTGTAGAGAGGTGTCCTCTTACCGGAGAGTTGTTACATAGTAAAAATGGTATTTTCGCAAATGAAAACTGTCCTTTGTAGAGAGGTGTCCGTTAAAGGTAGGTTCTACTGTATCATAAAACAGCTGGAGGAGCATGAACTCATGGAATTGGTGTAATCTTTACACAAGGGGATAAGAAACAACAACAACACTGTCTATAAACAGCTGGAGGAGCATGAACTCATGGAATTTGTGTAATCTTCACACAAATGGATAAGGAACAACTCACCTGATGAAGACCAATCCTCCTCAGAATCTTCCATCATCGAAGGTGCCGGAACCCTTGGCTCAGGAAGTGGGGGCTGAGTTGGAGAGGAAAACCCGTTTTGTTGCTGGCTCGGCCCTTCTGGCGGGAAGCTGTTGCGAGCCGGCACTGGAGGGGGTTGGGTAGGATTTCTTGGGGGCAGAGGAGGCTTTGACCTCATCTGGAGAGTTTCTTCATAGGAAGGAGGCTCCGGCCTAGGTGACAGATTCTTATGAGAGTCATAGCTGAGGAGCTGATTGCTGGGAGAGAGGTCTGCATGGAAGGACAACTTCTCCAGCCAATCCTGCATTGTCTCTGCATCTGGGCCGGCAAAGAGGAACTTAGCTCCATCTGATAGCTGCACTCTGATCACATGCTTGCGTTTGGTGTAGTCCGTGGCTTTGGCGCAAATGGCATGCCTCAAGCTGACAGGAGGTGCCAAAGCTTGTTTCTCTATGAATGTGGCTTTATCCTTGAAGAAACATAGAAGCTGTCCGCAGAGAACGGTGTAATAGGTCTTCCAGCTTCGCACTGTGGCCCGCTTGCCTCCGTTCTGTAGTTCTTGCTTCCTCTCCAGGAATCCTTCAATCTCCACTGGAGGCAGGGCAGAAGGCACAGGCTGTCGGGGATGGCGGGTGTTGAAGCTGGGCGTTCGCTTAGGCAACCTCTTGTCTAGCTTGGCACTTTCCGATCTCTTCAGACCTATTTGTGATACTTTGGCCGGGGACAGCATGAGGCTTTCCCCACGTTTGAACTGTGGGAGATTGTCTGCTCGGAGGTCATCCTCCGTCCTACGTTCCTGGACAACAAATTTTTTCAATATTATAAAATAAATAAAGCTTTTATAATAATTTCAAGTTTTCAGACTTGTCAGTCCTTCAACAGGATTATCACGTTAACAACTTAATAATAAATACAATTTTTATATGCAAATTAATTTTTACATATTTTAAATATTTATGATATTCAAAGGGAGAGAAAATATATATTACATTCTTTTTGTGTGTTATAAACAATTTTTGAAAAAAAATAAATATATATATATATATACGTGCAAGGTGGATGATACTGACAAGTCAGAAAGCTTGAAAATAAAAATTTGAACAAGAAACTTGACCCTGGAAGCTTTATTTACTTTATAATATTATAAAAAAAAATCAGGGAAGAACATTTATTTATAATCAAGAGTTAAATATTTCCAAGTTATAAACACAAGGTAATAAGACCAAATCCAAATAAATAAATAGTGTGTGAAGTTTCGGTAACAGCGTTGTTACCATCTTCAGACAAAAGTACTGAATGAGAGAATTTTACCACAGTATGCTTTAAATAGTTCCTGTTATCAAGTGTGTAAACAAGGAACTAGTGATAACAGGAACTATTTAAAAGCATGCTGTGGTAAAATTCTCTCATTCAGTACTTTTGTCTGAAGATGGTAACAACATTGAAGCGTCACACACTATTTATATTTGGTCTTATTACCTTGTGTTTATAATCTATAATCCAAATTGTGCCTTATCAATTTCCAAGTTTGGTGATCTAACAACAAAGGACTTGAAGGAAACTTACCTCCAGTATTCTGTTCTGTTCATTCCTCCTCACTGCATTCATCCTCTCCTTCTCCAGCCTCTCCACTTCCTGTTTCCTTCGCCTCTCCTCCTCATTCTTCCTCCACTGGAAAGCTTCTTCAATCTTCAACACACAACCTTCTGTGAGGCCGGCCCATCCAACAGTATAGATAGTCTCTAGGTGGAGGTATATATTGCCAACACTGTGAAGGAACAATACAGAACCTCAAGAGAGAAGAAGAAGAGAGAAAGAGAAAAAAGTTTTTTTTTTTTGCTTATCCCTAGTACACGTGGTACAGGCCATGATAATCATGGTGGGTAGTTAGCGACTGCTTTTTACTGTACGCGCACCACATGTCTACACATGTGAAAAGCAGTTTGACTTTGCATTTACAAATGCCAGAGCCCCGTTTGGTTACTTGCACTCGCTGGTGGGGTTAGACTTTTGCAAGAATCGGAGGCCATTGGAGCATTTTTTTTTTTTAAACAGAAAAAAGTGTCCAATGCGGGAATCGAACCCGGGTCCTAGTGGTCGAAAACCAAACGGTTTAACCAGCCTTCCACCGACCCTTTCACAAGAGGAATCCCACTGATGGTTGTCTGGTATGATGTCACGCCCTGAAGTTGGACAGTGTTCCGCCTAAATCGGACTTCTCCCCAACATGTGCTATTGCCATGTCGAGGAATTGCTTCAGAACAGACCTCTGCTCAGAGAGAGAGAGAGAAAAAGGCTTAGAGTGTACTCATTCCAATTACGGAGCCTCGTTAGTGTCCCGTATTTTTAGTCACTACCTCCCTGTGCCGGGAGTGGGTAATTTGCGCGCCTGCGACCTTCCTTGGACGTAGTAGCCGTTTCTCAGGCTCCCTCTCCGGAATCGAACCCTGATTTCCCGTAACAACCATGGTAGGTATTGAGGGGTTCTTATCAATATAGATGCTCTCTCTCTTTACCTTGAGAGACAACCTAGAGTCCAGCTACTTGACCAGCTCCGTAACTCCAAAGGAAGAGGCTCTAAGGACGACTATCAAACGTCCGAATTCTTATCCAGAATTCATTTTTATTGAAAACACGGTCAATTTATACATTCAAGAAATTTACATACTAATTTAAAAGAAATTTACATACTTTTCTCTTAGTTTTTAAGTTACAACTATATTTACATAAAAATAAAGTTGACTACTCTAGTAGTCATAACAGTAGGCATAACCTACCATCGAAAGTTGATAAGGCAGACACTTGACGTCGCCAGTGCTAGGACTGTGCGATCTGCCATAGTTATTCAGAGTCACCACAACTAACGGAGTTACCCCCGTTTGGTCTTGGTGGGAGAGAGAGAGATTGAATCTACTTTTATTAATCGTTCATATAATATTATATAGTGCCAAATGATTTTTAAAAAATAATAAAATAAATAATAATAATAAATATATCTACATCAGACACGAGCCTTCTCTGAATCTGAAAAATCTGGACTATGTCAAATGTTTAAAGCCGCCCTGAGTTTGGAAAGGTCCATGCTTTTAAAGGGATTTTGTCCCCAAGGTGCTCAATTGCACAGCCAAGAGTCCATCAGAAAAGAGAGAAAATTCGCGAATAAAGGTTTAAGACCTTGTGGAACCCATGGTCCAGACTGTAATAGAGACAAACTGTAATAAACATGGAAGCTCCCACTATTATATAAGGTGGCCTTTTCAAAATGTAGGTCTTCTTTTCTTTTTTTTTGCTTATCCATAGTACACGTAGTACAAACCATGATAATCATGTTGGGTAGAAGTTGGCGACTGCTTTTACTGTAAGTGCACCACATGTCTACACATGTGAAAAGCAGTTCAACTTTTGCACTTACAAATGTGCCAGAGCCCCATTTGGTTACTTGCACTCGCTGGTGGGATTGGACTTTTGCAAGAATCGGAGACCATTGGAGCATTTTTTTTTTTTAATCATAAAAAAGTATTTAATGCGGGAATCGAACCCGGGTCGTAGCGGTTGAAAACCAACGGTTTAGACCATCCTTCCACCGACCCGGTGTTGTCCTTTACAGGGAGGTTCTACTGTATTGTACTGGGATAAGGTGCATAAATTAAAAAAAAAAAGGCATCTCCTTATCGTGCAACTGAAAGTTCTTCTTCTTCTTTCTTATCTCCACTCAATCACACTAAGGTATCAAGCTTGTAAAGCTTGAGATTTTTGATGGTGTCTGCCGGGGAAGAGTAGAGCTCATCAATGGATGAGTCAATACAGTGCAACTGAAAGTTGCTGATGGCTTGTGCCATCTATCGAAATAATAAATATCAACTATTCGTTGATTTTTTTAAAAATTATTCCAGAATTGGCCAAATATGGCCTTGATTAATCAAGAAAAGCTAGATTGTGTCATCAGTTGTATGATAAGGAGATGCCTTTTTTCTCTCTCTATCTTGACTTGTTAGAACAAGAGAGAAAGAATATCGAAATCTCTCTCAATGCAAGAATTTGAAATTACATAACAAGAGAAAGAATCATCAGACATCATCTTGAAGAAGGAACAAAAGTTAACGGCGACGTGTTTCTTTTATTTGTGCTGTAAATTCTGCAAGTTTTCGGACTTTGATGTCCTTCGACAGGCAACTTTCATTGCCAACACTTATTGCCTGCCAAAGGACGTCAAAGTCCGAAAGCTTGCCGAATTTACAGCATTAATGAAAGAAACTTGTTACAGTTAACATTTGTTCCTTCTTTAAGATGAAATTACATATTGGTACAGCATAGCCTGTTTTGGGAAGCAGAAATGGCCGCCTCAAGTTGGAAGTTTCAGTACCTTGGTGATCCTAGTGAGAGCCTGCAGCTTGTCCTCCTGGGCTTCCAAGGTCTTCATGAAGTCCTCATGGCTGTGGAGCAGTTCCTCCACGGCTTCTATGGAGTCTCCCAGGTCATCCTGCCGTACCATGGTGGAGCGGGTCTGCAGCCAGGCCTCCAGCTGCTCTGCATCCTTGCGGAATATCTGTACACCAGAGGGAGGTCACCACTCAATCTATCCATCCATGGCTACACACTCACCTGGGCATCCAGATATTGCTCATAGAGGGAGAGATGGTCATTCCATAGGTCAGTGAGATTGTCAAAGGCTCGATTGAGACGGTCAAGTTTATCTCTGATCTCCGATGCCATAAAATGACCTCCAGAGATAATAGCTTCTCCGGTTGCCTGGAACTGTGCTGTAGCTTCCTTCCTGGTCTCTATCTCAGCTCTGCGCTGCTTGTGCCGGTACAGGAGAGTCTGAGATCCAGAGACATCTGGCGCCAACTCGTCTGATGTGATCACAGCTGTCATCTCATTGATCCAGGCCCTGAAATAGTGCCAATAGAAACATCAACACGGAGATCCACAATCACAAGGTAATATATATATAAAACCAAATACAAATAAATAATTACTGTGTCCTATTACCTTGTGTTTATAATCTACTAGCCGAATGACCCGGGCAACGCCCGTGTTTTACCCGATTGAATGTTTTGATTCAAATACTATTTGTTACAATTATAAATTGGCGCCTTAAATAAATGCATATGTTAGTTAATAACTATAGCCTATGTGCTTTATCTGCCTATGTACTGTTGGCTTCCGTAGGCGTCTCTTACTGGGAAAAAGAAAGAGAGGATTCCATTTAGTTATTAACTAATATATGCATTTATTTAAGGAGCGACCCGCTCCAACACAATAGTTACAAAAACGAAAAAGCGAGTGGGGGGGGGGCAAAGGTGGCGTGATCGTAGCCAACCAATAGGAGAGCGCCATCCCAAAAAAAAAAAAAAGCAAACGGTGACAGAGATGAAAACTGAAGAATTGATTAAGAACGCATGACGCTCGTAACTGTATATATAATAATCCAAATTGTGCCTTATCAGGGATCCACAATGTATTTAATTCACCTTTAATTATATTTTTGCTTATCCCTAGTACACCCTGGAACATCCTGGCAGCTGCCGGTCAGAATACAATTAATCCTTGCCTCTACACATTGCTACTGGATAACTTATTCTCTAACACATGGATCTAATATATATGTGTGTTTGGTATGGGACATTATTTCATAGCAGCCTTGTTACCATTCTTAGTATACTTGGTACAGGCCAAGATAATCATGGTGGGTAGAAGAAGGTGACTCTTTTACTGTAAGTGCACCACATGTCTACACATGTGAAAAGCAGTTCAACTTTACACTTACAGATGTCCCAGAGCCCCGTTTGGTTACTTGCACTCACTAGTGGGGTTGGACTTTTGCAAGAATCGGGGGCCATTGGAGCATTTTTTTTTATTCAGAAAAAAGTGTCCAATGCGGAATTTGAACCTGCGTCATAGCAGGTTGAAAACCAACTGTTTAAACTATCCTTCCGCTGACCCCAACAGACCTATACTCAAATATAAAAATGTGAGATTATAAAATCATAACAAACAAATCTTTAAAAAAATAACAGAATTTAAAACTATATCCTACGGGTATACCCGGCAGTTTGACTATGGCAAAAAAAAAAAGATAACAGATTGACTGAATTAAAGTAGATGTTTAATTATACATAGTCAGTTGAAGTTACAAGAAAATAAGACCTAATCCAAATAAATTAATGGTGTATGACATTTCGGAAACAGCAATATTACTAAAACATCACACACTATTATTTGGATTGGGTCTTATTATTTTGTAGCTAACATCTATAATCCAAATTGTGCCTTATCATCATTGTAGAATTAATCGTCCCTTTGATACTAGTGAAATGTTAGCTGTTTAATGTACTTAATCATACATCAAACTCCACCTTTGCCGGTCCCAAGCCCTGGATGAAAAAGGAGGAGGGGGAGCAGTAACAAGTTCACTGAAAAACCTGGGCTCAGCTGGCCCGGCTGATTGTACCCTGTATGGGCCCCTAATCCAGGGATACAGGATGAGCAGCGTTTGTACTCCATGTTAGGAGCAGCTGCACATGGCGTCTGTTCCTCATGTCAGAGGCGGCCCTTTCTTTTGGAGCTAATTCGGCCTGCCACTGAGTAGTGCTCCCAGTCTTAATGACAAAGGCATTCTACTTCACCCAGTCATGATGGTTGTCAAACAGACACCATCAAGAGTCACAACTTGATATCCTAATATGATTGAGTGGAGATAAGAAAGAAGAAGAATGATACATCATAGCTGGTTATATCACAAAGATCACTTACATCAGTTCCCGGTACTCATCAAAGTAAGCCTGGAGTTGTTCAGCCTGGCAAAGTCGACTTTTCCTAGCAGCGGCACGGTCCAGGAGCTGGTTCCAGGCTTCAGTCACTTCCTCCTGCTTGGCTTCAATGTGTTCTGCTGCAGCCGGGAACTTGGAGGCCAGTCTCTTGGCTTCCTCGCTCAGTGCCTCCACTTGTACCTTCACTGCGGCCAGTTCACTCTGGACACACCCATTACATAAGTCTTCATTGGAACTCACTCAGAAAACAAAAGAATAATTTGCCTTAGTTATTCTTGTTGGAATATTACACAGAGTAACAATGGCTATAGATGAGCTCGTGTTTGTAAAGGAACTTGTATAAAATAATTATTGTTTTGTTAACAC